ATGGATTAATTTAAAAATTATGATTTAGAATTAATATCTGAAGTTCATAGACTTTGAAATCCGGAACTAATAAACCTCCTATGTACAAAAATAATCAACACTTGTTCTCTTTTAATGTATATCCAAACTATTAAAATATAGACGTAACGTTCAATTTTTTAGAACTGTGTTTTACTGATGCATGAAACGTGATCACACGTAATTAAAAAAAAAAAAATACTACCTACCATAGGAATCAAATAAATAAAACAAATGTTAACATTTTGATTTGTTTAATATCCCCACATATAATAAGATCAAGATACTTAATTTCTTATTTGTAAGAGTTAAAACATGGTTAAATAGGTTAATACGACTCGCAACCAAACCATAATTTAATATGCAATTATGTGACAAAAACGTAAACAGAAAACATATCTTACGCCAGAGATTTTGGAAGTTACCCGAAATTTGGACAGACTACAAGACATCGTATTAGGGTTTTTTTTTGTCTGAAAATCCTTAGATTCATTTCTAACCTCAAGTCACAACCGAGAAAAATGGATACATTCTTAAATTTCCAACCCAAGAAAACAAAAATAAGAGACCCCATCATCAATCTTAATCCTGCTTGAGCTCACTGGCTCTGAGTGAACTCAGTTGAGTAGACTCGGCTGAATCATTGCTCAAGAAAAATGAAATTAAATGGCTTCAATCAATTAAGAATTAAGCCTGCGTTAATAACTTGCCTTAAATCAAATTAGGGTTTTTAACCGTCGAATCCAGTTTGGCTCCAGACTGCATCCCTCACCCTTCTCAGGTCCCGACCCTTGAGGGTCCGACCGACGCCCTCAAAGACTGAAGCGCCACCGGATTTCTTGCTCCGAGCATACTCACGCGCCAAGTACTCGTGGGGTGGCACCATCTCCGAGTCACCATCGTCCCACCCGTCGTCCGAGTCATGCATCGATTCCACCGAGTCCACCCGGTAAATCTGGCTCCAGTCCGGCACATGCACCGGAGCTGACGTGGCCATGTGATGCTGCCCACGTGGAGTGACCGCCACGCCCTCTTGACTCCTCACCTGATGTACGATCCTCGACGACGACGCCAACGAATCTTCGAAAGCCAAGGACAACCCACCCACGTGGCGATCACTACCCCGCGGTGCTCGGCGATTCCTCCTTGCCGAGCTCCCATTACTCTCCGCCGAGGTCCACTCACCCTGCGAGTTATTCACGATCGAATCATTCCGGTCTCCAACGTCATCTACCATCGACCACACCTCCTCCTCTCCAAGCTCCGTCCCTTCCATCGATCCCTCCCCAGCAGCATACCCATTCCCGTAGCTCCCTAAAAACCGCTCGCTTCTACTCGTCGTCAATCTCCGGCCTTTCGCCATGCAACAAAATTAAGAACAAAATAGGAAAAAAAAAAGAGAAAAGAATACGAATCAACAATCTGTTCTACGTAATTCTGATTGCAGAACACCGAAAGAAAACAGAACTAAAAACATAGTAAATCTGTTTGTTTATGAGTTCAGTATATAGGGTCGGTCTGGAGGAGGAGACAGGTCTATATAAAACAATTGTCTGTGACTTCATTTCATATGAATTTGGACTTCATTTTGCATTCATTTCATCTATATATGCATCGTCCAATCAGATTCAGGGATGGAAGACGCCAAGACAGTCATGAATCATGAGACTGTAAAAAACGAAAAGAGACGAGAAAATTTGTTAAATCGTCCCTGGCGTTTTGAATTTGATTCAATTAGGTACTTCACCTCTTAATTTTGTAATTAAATCTCTTAGCCTTTCTATATAATTTAATATGATCCTAAATTTTTTTTAATCCCAATTTCAATTATTTTCGTAGAAATAATTTTTTGGTATAACAATGGAATGGTATCATGTTAAATCCACATATTGAGTTAGATCAAAGGCATGATGATATCCATGATAAATTAGAAAATGTATGATACATTGTATTTTTTTTTTACTATCTTTTTAAAGAATTAAACACTAATCAATATTATTGAAAGGAGCAAAGTTCTAACGAACCAATTTACCATCTCTTAAGTTCATTAGAATAAATGAAATTATCTTAGAAAATATAATAAAGATTTTTACATCTTTCTTTTGATTGATTGTCATCAAGTAATTGTTAAGAATTTTTTTTATCATAACTAACAACTAAATCACTGAAACTTCTAAGTTATGTATTTCAAATTCAAAGCTTCATATGCAAGTATATATTTGGAGGTAGAAAGCACTTCTTCTTCTTCTTTTCTTTTTCTTTGGCATAATCCATATTAGAATGTTTAGTTAGAAAAAAAATCTATAATAATATAAAAAAAATATTACTACTAACTAATAAATAGAATAGAAGTGTTACTGTTTATATGAAATGGATATCTAATGATTAAAGTGAAAGTATTAGAATTTTAGACTTATCATGTACAATTATGGTCTAATTATAGGTTAAATTTTAAATATATTTTGATTTAATATGTAAAACAATTGAATATACTATTCCAATTTAACTCATTTAAATAAAGTTAAAAGTATAAAGAAGTCCTTATCAATAATACTTAGAGAAGGTGGAGGAGCACCCATGCAATTCATCAAGAAATATATGAAAAAAAAGGGATTGACGGAAAGAAGAGGAATTGCGTACTTGCGTCACCGCCGGTTAGTTCCGCTTGTGGAGCACCCCCACTAACGTCATATTCAAGAAAATCATATTTACGGAGCAATATTTATTTATTGATAGTAAATTTTTAAAAGGATTTTTTTAACATATACTTAAGTATTAATTGTATCTTTTACAAAAAATTTTAACAAAAAATATAAAAATTAACATTATTTTTAATATTAATGTTATGTAAAATATTTTAATTGAATAATTAATAAATTTAAAATTAATTTTTATTTTTATAAAATTAATTGTAAAAATATA